TGACGATACTTCTATTATAATATGATTAATAGTGACTTTGCTGTTCTCGAGAAGAAGATTTTTAAAGACATTTCCTATATATTCCTATTTAAAACTTCGATCCCCTCTTGTGGCCTCGCCCTACCCTCGGGGGTTATGATATGAACAAAATTGAATCTAGAGTATGTAATAAAGCTTTCACATAAGTTTCATCTTTTCTTGCACAGATGTTCTTGAGAAGATTTTTAAATGATGCCACCAAATTTTCACGAATTCTTTTATCTTTCCGTGAAAGAGGGCGCAGCACTTTCTGTAAACAAACTTGAATCCCTTTTCCCCAAGGATGCTTTGTGGCAAGTTTGGTTGAAATTGGCCCAGTCAGATCTTGAGAAGAAGTCGAAAATGTGAAAGTTTACAGACGACAGAGGGACGCCGGACACTCTTTGATCAAAAAAGCTCACTTGAGCCTTCGGCTCAGGTAAGCTAAAAAAAGACCAGACACTGCCCGTAGTCGTCAAGCAGATTGGAATATATTCAATAGATAAAACACTCCAATTGCAGATGTAGTCGCAAATTTTCCCTGGCTAATAACAGAATTTTTAGGTGCAACCACCCCCCCCCCCCTTCCCCTAAAACTCGATGTCATTAAGTGTTTTGTTTTTCAGAAGAGGGGGATTTTTTCACCGATGCTTTTTAAAACCTTAAGACTCCTGTGCCATAGACTGGATTCATAAGACGCTGAGCACTCACACTGTATTCATGATTCACTACGTACTGGACTTTCACCCTGTTACAGTGAATAAACTTTCATGGGGCATTCGCTTTTGAAAGGTTATTCACCATACACTGGACACTCCCCTTGTAACGATTATTAACCATTAACTGTTCACCAATCTTACATGCGACCGCAACTCACCATACACTGAACATCCGCTTTGTAACAGTGATTTACTGTATACAGGACATCCACTTTGTAACCATGAAACACTTCATACTGGACATCCACTTTGTAACCATGAAACACTTCATACTGGACTCTCACTTTGTAACCATGAAACACTATATACTGGACACTCACTTTGTAACCATGAAACACTTTATACTGGACTCTCACTTTGTAACCATGAAACACTTTATACTGGACATCCACTTTGTAACCATGAAACACTTTATACTGGACACTCACTTTGTAACCATGAAACACTTTATACTGACTCTCACTTTGTAACCATGAAACACTTTATACTGACTCTCACTTTGTAACCATGAAACACTTTATACTGGACACTCACTTTGTAACCATGAAACACTTTATACTGGACACTCACTTTGTAACCATGAAACACTTTATACTGACTCTCACTTTGTAACCATGAAACACTTTATACTGGACACTCACTTTGTAACCATGAAACACTTTATACTGGACATCCACTTTGTTACCATATATACTTTGTTATATACTTTGTTACTATATACTGGACATCCACTTTGTAACGATGAAACACTTTATACTGGACATCCACTTCGTAACCATGAAACACTATATACTGAACATCCACTTTGTTACCATGAATCATTATATACTGGACACTCACCTTGTTACCATGAAACACTATATACTGGACATCCATTTTGTAAGCATGATTCACTATTTATTGGACATTCACCTTGTAACGGTGAATAATCAACCACCTTGCAACGGAAGTCGTGAAATATCATGACATTTCAATAACATTAACTGTCAGCATCAGTAAAGTTCGCAACCGAGTGATAATTAAATTATATTAACCATATGTTATGAACATGATTGACGAATGATTCGAGTTGGTCGCATTACTGGGAAAACCTGCTGAAAGACACCAATAAACTAAATAAGGTAAATTTAGCATAATAATTGTCTACATTTGGCTTTACTTGCCAACTCTATTTTAGTAAAAACTTATACATATGCAAGTAGATATTTGTTGGTTTGAAGAAATGAGAATCCTAATGTTCAGTAAAAAACATCTACCTTTCTCAACCATGGATCGCGCAGAAACGAATTACGTGTATGACAACATGTACATGTATATAGAAATCAACCAAAAGATGTAAATTTTATTTCAAAGACGAAGTTGCAGGTGGGGTTTTTCCATCAGGAAAACCTGTTGTTACCTGTTGTAACAGTGACTATGACGTATGCGTGTATGTGTCTATAATGATCTATACTTTATGCATCCCATCACCTTTTTGTTATAAATTTCGATTTGAATACTAGAGTTAACACGAGGAGGTTAAATTTCCGGTATTATGTCTTTTTAAATTTTTTTTTACTCTCCCATGGATACAAAGTTCTAAAAAAAAAAAAAATAGAATACATATATGGCGTCAGACAGTAACACATTTGGTCTAGGCGTAGGTATAAAATGGTATTTTTGTGTTCACTTCGTTATGAACATTACATACAATCATTACTATCAAAATCGGTGGAAAATGAGCAAAGGAAGTTCAACCATATTTTTTTCATGTATTATTAATTTACTATATATTTACATTCAGTGTAATTTTCTTTATGAAATCCATTAGAAATCTACGACTTCAAATCTTTATAACACACGCGAAACCTTGTCACCGCGCGGTAGAATACACAGTAGGAACTATATGCATTTTCATTATCTAGGAACACCAAATGTATATTGTTTTGACTCAGTTTAATAAAAAAAAAACTACCCTGTTGAATTAACTTAAAATACAACAACTGTACGTTTAAAATTAATTTGTCACTTTTTTCTCGCAATGTTCATTTGCGTTATTTAACTTTCCAACGTCACAAACGGCTCTTACGTCTATTAAGCACATCAGTTCTGAAAGGCGCTAAATTCATAATAAAGATTAATGAAATGAACAATTGCGAAGAGAGAAAATCAACTCGCGGTATTCAATTTGTCGGCACGGCCAGGTGTGTTATAGGACCGACGACATCCAAAAATAAGAATTCAATGCTTAAATACAGGTTCCATCCCAGTGCCAGTTAGTATCTGGTGTTTCTCAAACTTTCATTCCGTAATTCAAAATACAGTCGCCAAGCCATGTATCTCTTGAAATTGTCCCAAAAATATTACGGAACAAGTGTTTGAAAATCCGGTTATTAAGGAGCACTGGGATCTGTTTCATTTTGAAAACAACGGTGCAAATCAGACTAGTATTAGGTGTAAGCAGCCAGTTAGAATCGTCCAAGGTGTTTCATAGCATGTTATGAACACAAAAAAGAAAACTGCGCGGGAGTGATGAAACTAATCTTATAATGGGAGAATATCACTTTAATATCCAATACATATTGCAAAACGTTTTTAGTAAAAGTGTCGGTATTCATTGCTACAATTAAGAATGACTCAATTTAAAAAAAAATATTTCAAAACTTTCACTCCAAGCTAACCAGCAAGAATGATGGTCAGAAATTGATGAGTGTCCTTATCGGATTATTCATTATGATCTTTATTTATAATTTTCATCTTCTAATTAAACCTCCTGTACCAAGAACTTGTTGGAAACAGAAAATAGGCCGTGTTTATTGGTTCTTAAATGTTAGACAAATTCAGTATTAAGATGAACTTTTGGTACGTAAAGGTTTGTTTGAAGTAATAAATGATAGACATACATATATTTATTCTTTCTTCAACCATCAAACAACATACATGTACTTTCTCACTCCTTCGAGTTGTTGCCGTCACATGCTAAGATCCTTGCACCTTTGTGTTGTTGCTGATGCATACTAGGATCCTCGCTCCTTTGTGTTATTGCCGTCACATGCTAAGATCCTAGCACCTTAAAGAAGTTGCCGTCACATGCTAGGATCCTCGCTCCTTTGTGCTGTTGCCGTCACATGCTAGGGTCCTTGCACCTTTGTGTTGTTGCCGTCATATGCTAGGATCCTTGCACCTTTGTGCTGTTGCCGTCACATGCTAGGATCCTCGCTCCTTTTGCTGTTGCCGTCACATGCTAGAATCCTCGCACCTTCGCGTTGTTGTACTGCTATAGTCCTCGGATCTTCGCTTTGTTGCCATTCCATGAAAGGATCCTTGTTTCCTTGCGCGTTGTTTCCCTCGCATGCAAGGGTCCTCACTCTTTTGCTTGGCTGCCCTCTCATGCTAAGGTCTTTGCTCCTTCGCATTGCTGCCCTCGTATGCTATAGTCCTCGATTCTTTGCGTTGTTGCCCTGTTATACTAGGAACTTTACTCCTTTGCGTTGTTGCCCTCGCATGCAAAAGTCCTCACTCTTCTGCGTTTTTGCCCTTACATGCCAGGTCTTTGTTCTTTTGTTTAGCTGCCATGTAGAAAAAGGTACTAAACTATAATATTTTCAGAAATAGATGTTATATCAATAGTGAAGGCAGTGAGCAAGCACCCCACCTTTGCGGGCCTACGGGTCTATTTTATTTCAGGACTAAGATACTATCTATGAGTGGCGAACATTCAGGTAATAGATAGGCTAATAATGTCATTGTAAATATTTCTATCTGTAACGCATTTCTTTAATGTAGGGAAGGGGCACTGAACACCAAGTGTAACCTAAATTTTCTTTTTAATGGGTTTCGCTCTTTTTTCTGTTTCTTTAATTCTTTAATAGATTAATACATTTCTTATATACTCTCATCTTCATTTCATTATAAAATAAGAACGATATCAAAAACAGTCCGAATGTCTCTAATAACAGGATTTCATTTAGTTTCAGAAAAGGATATTTTTGCTCATTTGCACACGAAACATCAACTAAGAAATGTCACGTATCGTTTATTTTGTACGGTAGATTTCAATTAAACACTCAACTTAAAACTTAATTAATCTTGTCAAAACTTTGACTAAAAGTACGCGACTCAGGAATATATCTTTAATTATATGCATTGTCTTTGTACGTCAATCATAACATTTCGCAACATTAATTTACACCTTTTTTATGAATATCAGTTCTGTTAGTAAATAAGTAGGTTACATTTGTGTATAAATATTGAGCAAGCTTATCTTCTGACAAACTCTTCAACATGATGGACAACAGTACAGTAACAGGTCTAGAAATGGTACATCAAGATATGTATAATAATGACACTGTCATGCCTGAATTGGAGGGAATTTGGCGTCGAACCAGCGATCCGAACGAAATCGAGGCTTTGTTTCAGATGCTGAAGAGTGAGTTGATAGAAAGTGAAGGAGAGAACCAGTCAATGAACAATTGTATACACAGAGGTAATTCATAATCTGAAAAATAATCTGTGTACTGTTATGGCAGTTTTTTAAAAAAAATATTACTTTCTCATGTATGTCTGTCACATATTATTCATCTTATCTTACAGATCAGTTGTCGTATCTGAATTCCGATCAAACAAGCGATGATCTCCTGGAGGAAATATTCGGATTTGAGTCACAGACAAATGACTGTGTGTTTCAGAACGAGGCCGAGGAGGAGAACCAGACCATACTATGGGACTTCGATTGTAGTGTGTTCGAAAGTAAAGCTACTGTGGATGAAAACAGTAATTATGAATCCTCTGCAGACACTCAATTTCAAGAAACTACCCAAATATAGAAATATCAGTGCAATGTATTGTTTGGTTGTATTATAATATATTATAAAATTAACAGTTAACATATTTTGATGTCAATCATTTCATTTATTTTATAATATAAAGCTGCTGTGAAATGTATATTATTTATAAATACACTTATTACGTGTACAAATAAAAATGTATAATTTAAGATTTTTGTTTTTTGCTGGACAATTTCTGCAAGTCTTGGATCACAAATTATTCCTACTGCCGGTAGGGTTGCAGTTTTAAAAGTGGGGGAGGAAGGGGGTGGGCAACCACCCAAAAAATCTGACAAGTAAAAACAAATTAACAAAATCCTGGAATTTGCCGGTGCTCGACCTTACAGCAACAATAAGTGGGGTGCAATCCGGTAACTAAATGAAAATTTACCATCGCAAAATACTATACTCAGAAAAAGGAATGGGGCGGCCCACCTGCCCCCCTCCCCAGGTGCGTTCTACCGGTCTGATTGTTGAGTAAAGCGGGCTTTTTCGGGAAGGGAGAATTTTGTAATTAGTTACAAACTCTCTTGTATTCTGAATGAAAATATATCGCTTTTTGGAAGGCGGCTTCGATTGAAAATGAATGGCGTATTTGGATTCAGTGGAATACAGAAAATAAAATATGTTGTTTTTTTCTTTCATTCTAGTGTAAAAAAAGGTGGAGATAACGAACAGTGATCGGTCTCTAAAAGTCTACAAACAATAAAAATCCGTGAACAGGACATAACATACAGACCCCTAAAAATTCCAGAGGCAGGATCAGTTGCCTAGGAGGAGTAAGCATCCCCTGTTGACCGGTCACATCCGCCTTGAGCCCTATATATTGATCAGGTAGACAGAACATCCCGTAGTCAAATTTAGTATAAAAACAAAGGCCTAATAATTGGTATGAAACAGCCATAATAACCCTAACAAAAAAAAAATACAATAGTTAACTATAGTTTACTATAGTTAACTATAGTGATAACTTTGACACTTTGAAAACTTTGATTTACTATAGTGATAACTTTGACACTTTGATTTACTATAGTGATAACTTTGACACTTAGATTTACTAAAGTGATAACTATGAAAACTTTGATTTACTATGGTGATCACTATGAAAACTTTGATTTACTATGGTGATCACTATGAAAACTTTGATTTACTATGGTGAAAACTTTGATTTACTATAGTGATAACTATGACACTATAGTGATCACTTTGAAAACTTTGATTTACTATAGTGATCACTATGACACTATAGTGATCACTTTGATTTACTATAGTTATAACTTTGACACTTTGATTTACTATATTTAACTATAGTAAACTATAGTTAAATATTGTATTTTTTTGTTAGGGAAGAGCGCAGAACATCAACTGGCAAAATTGGAAATATGCAGCTTACGTCATTTCCATCTGTTACAGTCAAAATATTTAATGATAGACAAAGAAATGGGCGGGTTCAATTCGATACGGACGTCCGAGAAAACATTGGATTGAAATTCTAGTTTGAAATTCATTTTCAATCCACCTCAGCTACTCTAGAACGCACTGTGTTACTGATTTGTACCCACCCATTTCATTGTCTATCATTAACATCTTGACTGTAACAGATGGAAATGACGTAAGCTGCATATTTCCAATTTTCCAGTTAATGTTCTGCGGTCTTAAGGATGGATTCTTCTCATATTTCTTATAATGGCAGAATATTGATTTTCTGAATACTCAATAATCAGACTGTTTACACTATTTTAACATCCAAAAACTTTGGTGTCATCGGCCTTGATTTTCAGTCAAGGTCATTTGAAAGTCAGTCCTAAAGGTAGTATTTTTACACAGAGAAGTTTTGAAATTTATGCATATGAATAAATTTTGCTGACTGAAAAAATATCTTTCACCATAAAATTAAAGTTGTTACTTATTTTTGATGACTAATTCATATGAAATGAGCTGGTGAAAAGATAACATGAAATCCTTTATATTCAATAAATACATCTAATCCGAATTTCCTCGATATTTTTTCAAAATTCTCAGTTTTCATGAATTCACATGAAATTTCGTCTCAATTTTTACAATTGACCATATAATGTCAAATATTTAGATTTTTGTCTGATGAATATTCAAAGGTTCAAGATTAATTTACAAGGTAAAAAAGATATAGTAATCAGGCAAATTATCGAAAAAAATTAGCCCGAATTTGCTCTATACTTTCTGAAATCTTCAATTTACAGAGTGTTTTTAATGTCTATGAGAAAGATTTTTAATGCCCAAAAATATATCAATTTGGTGTAATTGTGACATAAATACATTCATTTCTACCAGTTATACATTCTATTTTTATGGTATTTTACACTAATGATATTCAAAATATTCATTTCGAATTTCCTCTGTCATTTTATTCTTATGAATGTTATGTTTGACAATTTTATAAAATACATCTATTTTCTAGTGGCAATTCCAGAAAAATTATCACATACATTCTTTACATGCACAGGACTAATTCAAAGCAACTTAACCTTCAATATAACAAGGAATAAATAATAAACCTTCCAAAAAGTTATGAGAAAAATCATACAAAAAAATTTCATAGACTAGAAAAGATTTCAATACATTATTTATGACATAAACATGAAATCAATATACATGTATAGTGAACATGCCATTCAATGCTTAATATATGAATATCAGAGGGATTAATCTACATGCCTATACATGTATATGTAGTTATATACATAAAGGTCCCTGGTATTATGTTATTATTGGATATTTTACATTTGTAAACTGAGTTTTGAAAACAACAAGCAAATTCAAAGAATTGTGGTCCCCCACTTTCAATGTCTTAGTGGATGGGATGCCATTATTTATGGCATATTGTAACTGTTTGTTTGTCCTGTCTTATCTGTACATCATACAAAAAGACATAAATTATTGAATTAATAACAGTTATGGCAAAGACTATAGCTTCTCAAAACTACATCAAACTTCAAGATCAAGGTCATGAGGTCAAATATCATAATAAAATCCAAAAGATCTTCTCTCAAGTGATGCACGTGTAAAAAAAAATATCAGAAACCAGAGTCTACAATCAGAAAGGTCTTGAAACAGGTAATGCACATGTCAAATGTAAATACCATATCTTCTCTCAATCAAACGTTATTGCCATTGATAAACTTTTTAAAAATTAGGTCAAACTTCAAGGTCAAGGTCATGGGATTAAAAATCATAGTACATCTGGAAATGCTTGTCACAGGTAATGCACTTGTCAAATATAAATGCCCTATCTTTGCTCCTTCAAAAGTTAGCAAACTGATGAAATGTTTGAAAATTAGGTCAAACTGGAAGGTCAAGGTCACGGGGTCAAATATCATAGCATATTCAAAAATATTTTGACACAGGTAATGCACTTGTCAAATATGAACACCCTATCATATGTCATTCAAAAGTAATCACCAAATATAATTTTTTTGAAATTTAGGTCAAACATGAAGGTCAAGGTAAAAGGGTAAAAAATTATAGCATGCTCGGAAACACTTTGTCACTACTTATGCACATGTCAAATATGAAAGCCCTAACTATTCTAAATCAAAAGTTATAGGCAAAGATAAAAATTTTGAAAAGTAGGTCAAACTTCAAGGTCAAGGTCACGGGGTCAAAAGTCATAGTATAATTTTGAAAGGTCTTGTCAAAGGTAATGAACAGGCATAATATGAAAGTCCTATCTTTTCTCATTCAAAAGTTATGACCAATTTAAGGTAATGTTAATTTTTTTTGAAAAGTAGGTCAAACTTCAAGGCCAAGGCCACGGGGTCAAAATTCACAGTATATTTGGAAAGGTCTTGTTACAGGTAATGTACATGTGAAATACAAAAGCCCAATCTCTTCTTACTCAAAAGTTATGGCCAAGGTTCAAGTTTTTGTGACAGACAGATGAATGAGATTTAATGTCCCCTCTCTTTTGCGAAAGCAAGGGACAATAAATACCTACACACATTTATAAGTATATAGTTTGTTCAGCACTAATAAATATAACTCCTCAGTGTGATCATATATTGTGTAACATTTGCTGGAGTTTTAAGATAACAAAAAAAGATATCTATGACAATCAAATGCCCTTTGACATCTTTGCCTGAAAATGACATCCTTGAACTTTGTAACAGTAATATTTATGCAGCTATCAAACTTAATTTCACATTTAGATTCAAAATACTTATTCAAGGATGAAATTATTTTTTGAGATTTGTAGCACAAACATTTATTGATCAGTGTCAATAACTTGTATTGAAATTGAATTTAAAATTACCTCTTGAGGGTTTCTACTGCAAGTACATGTATATGTAGTTCATTTGTAAAAATCTAAATTTTAACCTGGCCACTACCAGCAATTTTGTTCGGCATGCTCTTACTTAAAATCACCCTTTAACTAAATGATCTAAAGCAGGCACATTTTTATGCATTCCAGAACTGTATTTTAAGATTTCAACTGTATTTGAAAATGTAAAGCAACTGAATACATAGAGCTAGGTATACAGTCATCATTTACAGGTTGTTGTAATGCCAGTACATGTAAATCTTCACATTGTAATCCAATGAAAGATAATGCTTGAAAAATTCACTCTGAGAGTAAGATTTCAAATCTGAATCAAAGATTTTGTAAAGTAATCACATTCTACAAAGTGTGCAATGTATCGGGTACTTGGGACTCAAATAATTAAACATTATATAATTATAAATAAAACTATTTTTGACTGAAAGTTTCTCAAAAAAATCAAGAATGGAATCATGCAACAAGCAGCAGTGACTTTGATAACATGCTTTGACTTCCACATTTCTACAAAAACATTTCTTTGATCAGATAAATATGTAATTCCTGCTTCTGACATGATGCACTGTATATTCTGAGAAAATCTCTTTTCCACAGACAGCCATCATTCATTTGATGTGAGAATTTCTTGCTGAACATGTGTCCACCTGGTGAAAGTCCAAATTTTTTGTTGACCTATAATTTAAAAAAAAGTAAAATATTTTACATAGCACCATACTTGATAGTTAGATAAAGTTGTGTCCATATTTCTTATACATGTACCTCAGTAGTCCATCTGCCAGCACTCCATGCTCAATCATCCTGCATTCTGACCTCCAGTCTTTTTTCTAGTCTAGGGTAAAGTAGGGTTGTTTTTCTCCTAAGAATTAGACATGAACATCCCTTAGACTATTTTTTTTAAATTAATGGAAATTGATTATAAGATTAAACAACTTATCATATCTGTATTTCATTTATTGATTTAAATGAATGAAGATATTTTAATAGATTCTACCACATGTATAATGTCTTATATTATAGTGTATTGGATATAAATAAATAGACATTTTTTATCCTAAAAGTACAGAAAATTTTTAAAAAAAAAAAAAAAAACCAATAATATAAATAGTTTTTTAACAATAATGTTTCATTTTGCTCTATTTATCAGACAATTGTGTGTTTCAATATTATTGATATTTCCACATACAATATCAAGTTATTTTTCCGTTTGATTTGTACCCAAGCGGAACACCTTACTTTTCTAATAACTTGATGATTGTTGTGTCTTGAACAAAGTAGGCTAGTTAAAAATATAAAATTTGTTGTAATCATATACAAAAAAATGCTATTTTTGTAAATTATTATTCATAACCCTGACGAACACACGAAATATATCCTCTTCAAATGTTGACAAGTCGCGGGAATAAGCAGACGAAATATTGATAACAGATCTATAATTTCCGTGCGAATTCCCATAAATCAATACAAACCAGCATGTAAATGAATTCAATTTCAAAATTATAAAAATCTTCAGACATATATAGATCTAACTAACTTACATGCTAACTGCACACGACATGACATCAGACGGGGCAACGTGGATCTGCAATCTTGCACATGTTTGTGACCTTCAAGTTCAAGTTTCCCTTTTGGCTGATCGGAATGCCCCGGGCATAAATAACTATGATTTAATTTGTCATAACTGTACCTGGGCTTCTGCAATGCTTCGATAATGTTCACAGTTCGTAGATTTTACAAAACAACCCTCTCGGGGTTTTCTACGGAAAATGATCTGGACATGTTGACATTCGCTACCGAACTGCGAATATTATGGCGATTGTCGCAAATCAAAGAAAATATTACGAAAAATTTATTAATTTCAAAAGAAATAGATTCAACATTACTTAAACTGACAAATTAACTAATAGTTTTTCCTTCAGTATAATTAAATATGAATTTTGCATTTTACGACTTGCATAATTTATGGAGACCCATTGACGACGTAAAATGCTGACAAGAATCCATCCTTAAGACCCAATGGTAGGTTTTATTTGATAAGAAGGTCATTATAACGACCATAAAATTCACGAAATGTTGACTTTAAACGAGGTTGCTGAAATTCCTGTAACATCGACTTATCTGTCAGTAGTCTGCCTCGGTTCAAAAATTGATCACACTCAGAGCATGCTCTTGAGTATCGAATAACTTTGGAGATGTAAACACAATATGCAGGTGATAGCGGAATATAACTACATAAATAAGGAAAGTTGACAATGGGAAAGCTGATTTCATCTCGTTTGTCATACAATTTAGTTGTTAGTTTGCCTTTATCGCCTATAGTCAGTAAAACATGTATCAAAATATGCAACAGATGTGACAGGCTCTGTGGTGTCTTTTATTTCGGGTTCACTGGGATATATCGAGTCGATATATGAATGGAAGTAACTATTGTAGATGTCGTCGATATATCTGAATATCGAGTTTTGGGGCACAGCAAGTGTTTCTCCTTCTCATGTATACATACGTTTTTGAATAAATTCTGCTTCCATCTAAATATGACTGACCATGGCTTTGCTGTTACTGGGGAAAAGATTTTTAGAAACTTCTCCTATATTTCTAGGTTAAACTTTGATCCTCCATTTCTGTCTCACTCTACTAGTCTAGAGTCATGATTTGAACAAACTTGAATCTTCACTACATGAGGATGCTTCCATATGAATATGACTAATCATGTTTTTGCTGTTCTTGAGAAGATTTCTAAAGACTTCTACTATATATTCCTATGTATAACTTTGATTCCTTCACTTGTTGTGGCCCCACTCCATCCCCATTGTCATGATTTGAACAATCTTGAATCTACCTGAGGATGTTTCTGTATTAATATCCGTAATGACTAATCATAGCTTTGCTGCTTTTGAGAAGAATTTTTTTCAAGATTTTTCCTACATATTCATACGTATAACTTTCATTCCCTCTTGTGGCCCTCCCCTACTTCTGGGGAGGGGGGTCATGATTTGAACAAACTTGAATCTACACTTCCTAAGGATGAAATATGAAGATAACGAACAGCACTCAATCTCGAAAGTCTAATGAAACGATACAAATTTGGAGCGGACCAAACACGGACCTCAAAATTTAGAGGTGGGATCAGGTGCCATGGAGGAGCGAGCATCCCCTGCCGACCGGTCACACCCGCCGTGTGCTCCTTGTCATGATCGAAAAAAACCCCGGAAAAATCAGGAAACAGTTTACTGTATAAGTAATGGCCTAACAATTAGTATGAAAAACATCAGTCAGCATTTGACTTAATGATAGATTGTATGTGCTGATAAGGTCATTGTATCGACGGTAAAACTTGCGAAATGATGACTTCATACGAGACTATTGACATCCTTGTTTCATCAACTTCTTTGTCAATAGTTTGTCTAGTTTTAGAAATTGTTCATACGTAGAGCATACTTTTGTATAAAAACTTTAAAAAGAGGATACTTTTGTATGAAAACTATAAATATGACTAATTATTACTTTGCTATTCTTTAGAAGATTTTTTCCAATATACATGTATTGCATTATAAAACATTACATCAATATTAATATGACTAATCGTGGTTTTGCTGTTCTTAAAGAAGAAGATTTTTTAAAGATTATTCCTATATATTACTATGAAAAAACTTTGATCCCCCGACGTGTCCAAGCCCTACCCCAGGGGTCATGATTTGAACAAGCTTGAATCTACACTACTTGAGGATGCTTCTTTTTCAATATAACCAACAAGAGGCTCAGGGGCCATATCGCTCACCTGAGCACTATGGCTAGGAAAAAGCAGAAATCAGTTCAGTCTTGAAAGGTTGAAAAGTTTAAATAAAAAAGTGGTTGGGGGGGGGGGGGGGGGTCATGAATGGAACAAATTTGAATCTACATTATCTGAGGATGCTTCCATTTAACTATGACCAATCATGGCTTTGCTGTTCTTGAGTAGAAGATTTTTAAAGATTTAACCTATGTATTCCTATGTAAAACTTTGATCGCCCATTGTGGCCCCACCCAACCCCCGGAGGTCATGATTTGAACAAACTTGAATCTACACTACCTGAGGATGCTTCCCTGTAAATATGACCAATCATGGCTTTGCTGTTCTTGAGAAGAAGATTTTTAAAGATTTTTCCTATATATTCCTATGTAAAACTTTGATCGCCCATTGTGGCCCCACCCGACCCCCGGGGGTCATGATTTGAACAAACTTGAATCTACACTATCTGAGGATGTTACCATATAAATATGACCAATCATGGCTTTGCTGTTCTTGAGAAGAAGATTTTTAAAGATTTTTCCTATATATTCCTATGTAAAACTTTGATCCTCCATTGTGGCCCCATCCGACCCCCAGGGGTCATGATTTGAACAAACTTGAATCTACACTACCTGAGGATGCTTCCACATAAGTTTCATATATTCAAGCACAGTGGTTCTTGAGAAGATTTTTTAATGATGCCATTAATTTTTCACAAATTCTTAATTATCTTCCCTTGGAAGAAGGTGTGGCCCTTCATTTGAACAAACTTGAATCCCCTTTACCCAAGGATAGTTTGTGGCAAGTTTGGTTGAAATTGGCCCAGTGGTTCTTGAGAAGAAGATGAAAATGTGAAAAATTTACAACAACAACGACAACAACGACGACAACGACAACAACGACAACAACGACGACAGACAACGGACAAATTTTGATCAGAAAAGCTCACTTGAGCCTTTGGCTCAGGTGAGCTAAAACTGGCTTTGCTGTTCTTGAGAAAAAGATTTTTAAACTATATATTTATATTTAAAATTCTGATTGCCCAATGTGGCTCCACCCTAATCACAGGGGCCATGATTTGAACAAAGTTGAATCTACCCTATTTGAAATTGCCTCCGTATCAATTTGACTAAACATGGCTTTGCTGTTCTTGAGAAGATTTTTAATGTTTTTTTTTCCCCTTTTTCTTCCTATTTAAAACTTTTATTGCCCAATGTGGCCACACCCTACCCCCGGGGTTATGATTTGAACAAATCTGAGTCTGCACCACCTGAAGATGCTTTCGAATCAAACCTGAGTTTTTCAATGACCCCACTCTGCAGTCAGAGTGCAGGTTTACCTGACAGGTCCTACTTTACTAAATGTTCTGTATCAAGAACAAACCTCTCTATGAAGACCAATTCAACTAACCTGCGATATTTCAAAATTTCATTTAAGATTCATTTTGTTTCATTGATGACTTTATTTCAAAAATACACAAATATGATATGTAGATATTTGACATTCACAACACACAATCAAAACTGGTTCAATAGTTGAGGTCAATTACAGTAGGAATGAAGTCTGCCATTTCAACAAAGTCCATAATGAAGATGCCATGCTTGCAATTCACATTTTTACCATTCTTCACCCACGTGACAAAGAATGGCGCCAGCCTCGAAGCAAGTACATCCTTCAAGCTTCCGGAGAAGTGGGAAATGATCGTCTGTGCGTTTGGCGTCAATACGCCTTGCCAACAGAAAAATCGTTCTTTATCGTCGTTTTCTCTTTTGTGTTTGTCGAGAAAAGATAAAACATGGGATATATCCGTTGAATTCGCCCATGGTGATCTAATTAATGATCCTGACCAAAAAAATGGGTTGTCAGACACAATATGATGATGATATAAAATTATAACCTGAAGCTCGCTCTCCCAAAGCATTTCAAGAGTTAAACACTCCATGTTCAAAAATGGGCATATTTTGTTCCCAAATATCTCTGTCATAGTCTCAAGCAATGAAGCATGATGACCTGCCTCCATTGCATACAAATGGTTAAAGTCTAAAATCACGATCTCTTTCGGGTGAGATTCAAGGAATTTCTTAATATCTTCCAAGCATGGGATAACGTCTGCACCATGGAGTCCATGAACGAAACAAACCTTTCCAGAAGCAGAGTGCCTAGAAATACGCAGATCAAAATATCGAATTCCGGAATTCAGCTGTTGTTCCACAGTCAGATTCTGTGTAATAGACCAACGATGAATGACGTCACGACCGGGTGCGCCAAACATGTGGACAACTGCTTGTATTTCCCTGGATTGGTCTGGGGCCACCTGCGACTGTGGGTCCAAGCTGTAGGAGAACGAATTATGAGAACCTGCATGAAAAACAAAATGCGTCAAAGTAGTTTAAACTATTGCAGGATACATGAAATTCAAAAATGCACTTGTTTTTAAGACAAAACAATTCCATATTTTATTAGATTATAACTTTAGTCGGATAATGAGTGGCATTCAAAATTTAATAATGTAATCGCAACACACTATAAAATATCTAAAGTCTCTTTAAAATGGCGTTAAAACAAAATAACAAGCGTCCCAGGGGCCACATCGCTCACCTGAGCACTTTGGCTAGGAAAAAGCAGAAATCAATTCAGTCTCGACAAGTTTAAATATAAAAGTGGGGGGGGGGGGGAGGGGGGTTATGATTTGAACTAACTTGAATCTACACTTCTTAAGGATGTTTTGAATTAATATGACACAAAATGGCTTTGCTGTTCTTAAGAAAATATTTATTTTTATATTCCTTTGTATAACTATAATCCCCTGTTAAGGCCCCTCAATTTTCCTGAGGGCCATGATTTGAACAAATTTGAATCTACATACCTGAAGATGCTTTAATATTATTATGACCAATCAAGGCTTTGCTGTTCTTGAGAAGAATTTTAAAGATTTTTCCAATGTATTCCTATGTAAAACTTTGATCACCCATTGGGGCACCACCCTACCCCCCCCCCCCCCCCGGGGGGGGGTGGGGTGTCATGATTTGTAAAAACTTGAATCTACACTACCTCAGGATGCTTGCATATAGATATGACCAATCACTGCTTTGCAGTTCTTTAGAAGATTTTTAAAGATTTTTTCCTTTGTATTCCTATGTAAAACTTTAATCACCCATTGTGGCCCCACTCTACCCTCGGGAGTCTTGATTTGAACAAACTTGAATCTACACTACCTGAGGATACTTGTATATAGATATGACCCATCATGGCTTTGCTGTTCTTTCAAGAAGAAAATTTTTAAAGAGTTTTCCTTTGTATTCCTATGTAAAACTTTGATCGCCCATTGTGACCCCATCCGACCCCTAGGGGTCATGATTTGAAAAAAAAAAACTTGAATCTACACTACCTCAGAATGATTCCATATAAGTTTCATATTTTCAAGCAAAGTGATTCTTGAGAAGACGATTTTTAAATGATGCCATTGATTTTTTACGAATTCATTATTATATCCCCTTGGAAGAAGGTGTGGCCCTTCATTTGAACAGACTTGAATCCCCTTTACACAATGATACTTTGTGGCAAGTTTGGTTGAAATTGGAATAAGATGAAAATGTGAAAAGTTTACAACGACAACGCCACCACGACGACGACGACAGACAACGAACAAATTTCGATCAGAAAAGCTCACTCGAGCCTTTGGCTTAGGTGAGGCAGTGAGCTAAAACTTAAATATTCAAATTAAGTAGGGTTACATCATTGTATATGCCGCATTGTGATGTAATATATTGTGAACGGCTTCCAAGGAAATAAATTATCAGTAAAAATCTAGACAAGACCGTTAGTAACGGAAATGGGTGTGCGCTTCTTCGCTGCGGAACTAGTGAAAACAGTTATGCGGTAAAAAAAAATGAAGACACTGACGAATCATCTTGATACTTAAATAATTGTTAGCAAACTAATTAATACTTAAATAATGGATAAGGCGCTAAAGACTGTGTGAAATGAAGAGGTGGTGTATTTTTTAGAAACTGTCATGACGTTATGTTTTTGATGTTACATTGATAATGTTGATGAGCGTGGTCGGTAGTGTCAAAACATGTTGATTTTTAAATAATGTAACATGAGTTCCATTTGCTAAAATAGTACAATTTGAAATAGTAATGGTAAACTGACTTTGAAATCTAGCAGGGACTATATTTTTGGCGGAATAGCGGCGTATGAAAATATCTCCTTTTCTACTTCTCAAAATTACTACAGAACAATAAATTTAAAAGGCATTTTTAAACAATCAAAGGCTTAAGGAAATTTTTGAAGTAGTTGAAATTAATAATAATGGACTCAAGTTTTGAAATATCTCAAGTATAAATGATTTTCTAGACAAATGGCAATTTTAAAGCCTTTGAAAGCTAAGGATTCTAAGAACAGATTCGAGTAAAAATTCAGTAAAAATGTTTTTTCTCTCTTATTAAATGCTCAAAACTTTTGGTTTTTGTATCATTTTGTACCTTTACATGACTACTTTATCTTATGTAAAAATAATAAAATTTTAAGTATTCAAAGCATATTAAAATAAAAAAATATTCCCTTAAAATATTGATAAAAATAGAGGAAATTCGGGTTACCAAATATCTATTTAGTTTAACTGTTTATCTCAATTTGACATTATCATCTGGTAGATCATTTGTTGTATCAAGTTTTAATGCAAAAAGAAAAAAGATTAAATCTTCCAAAATAAAAATAAGCATTACATGATTAGCAACAATAATTTTTTTAATCTTAATGACAAGGAAAATATAATAACCTTGACATGACCTTGACCTTTTTATTAAAAGGTCAAATGTCATCACTTAGTGATATTGTCTTCTTCAGTCTGTGATAATTTCATTAATTTTTAAATATGATAAACACGAGAAGAATCCCTCCTTAAATGTTGTACGGCGAACAGGCCCGCAATTTTTTTTCGGGGGGGGGGGGGGGGGGGAGGGGGGATACCAAGCAAAAATTCCTTCACATGCAAAAAAGTCAACAGATGTAAATTATTGAAGGGGCACATCCATAAATTATTTTTGACACCTATAGTATAACTATATATCGACAGAATTACTGTGGGGGGGGGCACAGCCCCCTCCCTTTGGTTCCTATGGCCATGCGAAGCCAGAATTGCATGAAGAATGACATATAGGTCTAAGGACGTACAAACTCTAGTTTATTTATTCAGGTATTTTTAAAAGAAAAATTGATTGATTGTAGGCTACAAAAGTTATTTTTCTTTTCGACACATAGCCTATATATTTTTTTTCTTTAAATTTATACTGAAGAGCTTAAAAATTTGAAGATTTAAGATCACTCCACATTTACTTTGTATCCGTAAATCACAAATATCCTTATGGTGCCCATTATAATCACCAGTTTACGCTAGTTCCTCTCTAAAGCCAGCATCGTACCTGTGTAATTTATAGTTGCATTCTCAGAAAAATATGAGTATATTTTGTTGAATAGATAAAATAATCTCACCTGGAATTGCAAGTTTATTTAGAGGAACTTTTTGCAGGTGACTTGGTAACTGGCTCATCCAATCTTTCCAGTTTTTATTCTGTCGCTTTTGAGGCGCATCCATGTTGTTTTTACTCAATAATGAGGCTCTGTACGGGGGTTTTTAGATAGAATGTTCTATCGTTAAAATGATAAATGTCCTACGAACCCGGTTTGTGGTGAGGGCCTGTCCCGAGACACAGTTAGATTAATCTAACTAGAGGGTTTTCAGTTGACTGGGTTTTAACACACCTGTAAAATTGTATTCATGTACAGTATTAACTGCCAGAAATAATATCTATTAATTATTATATTAATCTAAGCTAATTTTTTCATATAGCTCGAAATCGCTGTACACATGGTACAATTTGTTATGAACTGTATAGGCCTAGATCTAAAAATCGTAAATTATTGTAGATGTCCAATAAATGCATGATTTCCTGTTATAACAAAAATGCCTATTTAGCTGTCATATTAAAATGACCAAAAATTAAAATGTGAGTAAAATATGCATATAAATCATAAAGTAAAAAAAAAAAAAAATAGAAGAGAATAATAGATTTAAAATAAACTGAAATTAATTACAACAACTAAAAAAAAAAAAAAAAAAAATGCTGCATTTTCTTAGTTTTTTTTCCCTTGATGTATTCGTTATATATGTACGAGTTCAAAACGATTTATTAGAGAGGGGCATTTAAAACAACTGATAATTAATTCTCAATACATATATGTGGTTTAATTTAGTTAGAACATATTTTATTGTAATATTTCTAATTACAAAGGGATGAGATACAAGTTCTAAAAACTTACTACGCCCTCTCCCTACATGTAAATTACAAGTTTAAATCAGGTCTCAGTTCAACATGTAGGCCTACATCAAAAATATACATTTTTGCAAAATTTACAAATCATTGCATTTTTAAGTATGAATTTAGAGCCTTTCAGAACTCATGTGCTTAATAAATGTAAGAGTCGTTTGTGACGTTGGAAAGTTAACTAATGCAAATGAACATTGATAAAAAATGACAAATAAATTCTAAAAGCACTGTTGTTGTATTTACGTTAATTTAACAGGGTAGTTGTTTTTTCATTGAATTGAGTCAAAACAATATACATTTTGGTGTTCCTAGATATTGAAAATGCATATAGTTCCTACTGTGTATTCTATCGCGCGGTGACAAGGTTTCGTGTTATAGAGATTTGAAGTCGTAGATTTCTAATGGATTTCATAAAGAAAATTACACTGAATGTAAATATAAATACAACCATTTCCCACAATAAATTAAAGTCCGAGCCTTTTGACATCATAGACAGCTGCTTTTTCAATAATAATAATGGAACTCGTAAATTTACTTACCTTGTCATTGATCATTTGCAAAATTATTTTGTTAAAAAACATTCTGATTGTACACAAAAGTACTCCGAAGTTGATACTAAAATGATGCTTGAGTTTCTGATTTCTGATTCACAATATCTATATAGTTTTTGGAGATTGTCTTCCAACAACGATGCTGCTTGCATCCCCACTTTTTGTTGCGGTAAGGTCAAGAATTGGCAAAATTCAGGATTACAAAAGAAAATGTACCAATCATGTAAGAAAAAGCCCCACCCCGCCCCCTCCGAAATAAGATTTTCGAGGTTGGTTTAGGGGTTAGGGTTTTTTTTTTAAACCGTTGCTAGACTAAAAAGTTTCAATTCCATATTTCATTATAAAAGGTCGATACCCCATAAAAATTTCAATTAAAAAAAACACACACACTGCACACACTCACACCCATGCACACCCTTACATGTACACACACATGATGTCTTACTGGTCAAAAATAATTACTGGAAGAGAAACAAAAATTTCAAACTCTTGCTATAAATTAGTCTTTATTATAAATCAAGAAATCGGAGGAAAAATTTGTTTGTTTGTTTGTTTTTAATAGTAATAAACGCTGTTTTCTGAGAAATTAAAATCGTTTATTAATAAGAAAATATTAATCAAAATGTGCCCCCTGGCCTAGTATTCCCACATTTCACATTTATAGGAATGTTCTAATTATTGTATTGCCTTTTCCTGCATGATCTATCTATCTATCTATCCATATCGGCCTGAGCATCTCACGATTTCTACCTTGCTTTGGATTGGGTCTAATTTTGTTAATTGTCCGAATTTTAAAATTATTTACGCATGAATAATGATCATGCACATGTGAAATTTCAATCTTTAGTCAAGACGCTTTCCAATTTTTATGGATTTCACTCAGTCCGATACATTGAAAATAGGTCGTTTTGTGGTCAGGATATCTTATTTTAGAGGAAATCTGCATTAATGTTCCAAACGCCATTAAAATTAAACAATTAGAAAGTAATAGATTGAAGTGATTTAAAGATACTTTAAAATATTTATATATAGTTTGTTTGTTTGTTTTTTTTTGTTGGTAGATGCAATCTTTGAGCAGGCTGTGTTATTCAAAGCAAACTGAAATGTGTGTGTTGGGGGTGTCTTTTTCAATCTTGTAACGGTCTGAGCATCTCACGATTTCTGCATTAATTTTCCAAACGCCATTAAAATCAAACAATTAGAAAGTAATAGATTTAAGCGATTTAAAGATACTTTAAAATATTTTTATATAGTTTTTTTTTTAAATTTTTTATTTTGGTATTTGTAAACTTTGAGCAGGCTGTATTATTCAAAGCAAACTGAAATGTGTGTGTGTGTGTGTGGGGGGGGGGGTGTTCTTTTTCAATCTTGTAACTGATATAGGGTTTAGTAGCGTAGTTGTAGTGCTTGATGTTTTTGCTTTCATTTATTTTCATTTTTTTCATGACTTTTTAACTTCTTCTTTATCCTGAGGAAGGGACAGGGCGTCCGGAAAATTTGTCAATTTTTATTGTTCGTGTCGTTGGTCATTTTTAGTGCTTTACTTAAATTTCCATCCGTGACCTTGTATTCATGTAGTAGATCCGACACGTAGGATATACAGTGTACATATATAAAATACAAGTTCATTCAGAATATAAGGGCAATACAGCCCATCAGTTAACAAAAATAGCATATTATAACAACATATATTACAAAAATTAAAATATTGTATATAACAAATATATACCTAGCGTCTTCGGATCATATTCTTTTTTCTATTTTTTTTTTATACCGAAAATGTAAATTTTGAAAGAATTTCTTACGTGACATTGAATATATTATTGTGTGTTAAGGACAGACGATACGTTCCTCAATAATATATAATTTTTTCCAAGATTTTGTCATTGAAGTATTGCTACTTAAACATGTTTACTCACAAAAAAATTGGGGTACCTTACCAGGCATTTGTGCATGATACCAGAGGATAGTTTTCCTTGTATAATCCTTTTGGAAAAAATTTAATTTGCCAATATCAAATTTTTTTAGTGTTTGGATTTTTAAAAGACGATTAGAAACTGGTTTAGAAATAATAAAATAATTAATTTTTTTAATATTTTTCATACTTTACGAAGATATACATAACAGATATTTGAGGTACGTATCGTCTGACCTTAATCTAATTTTAAGTTTTGAATTATAAGCTGTAATTATATTGATTCAACTGGTTATGTCCGTGTAAATACCGTAAATGCTCAAGCATTCACGTGGTTGTTTTTATTTTTATAAAATGACAATAAAACTTTTGATGAAGGATGTATCAGTATATACGGTAAAAAGAAAACAATAAAAATGACATAAAAATGTTATAAGTGATTTATTTAAAGGAAAAAAAAAACAACAACAAGTATTTGAAGGATGTATAATATACATTTGGTAAAACTTAATTCAATTAATAGGGAGTATCAAATTCATTTGATAAAACGTTGTCAGTTGAAACTTTAAATTATAAAATTTTAGGTAAAAAAAAAAAGCACTTATTAATGAAACATTAATTTTAGAAAATGCCTATTATAAAAACGATAAAAATGACTTAAAAATCTACGGTATTTACACAGAAATAACCAGTTGAATCAATATTACAGCTTATAATTCAAAACTTAAAATTAGATTAACACACACTAATATATTCAATGTCACGTAAGAAATTCTTTCAAAATTTACATTTTCGGTAAAAAAAAAAAAAAAAAAAGAATTTGATCCGAAGTTTAAATCTGTGTTTGCAATTTAATTCCAATAAAAGTTTTTGCATACAGATATTCATTGGTAAAAGTGTTTGCACTCTTTTTTTTTTTTTTTTTTTTAATTTTTAAGAGAGTAAATTCTTAAGTTTTTAAATGTTTATCAAATAGCTTATATGTTATTTACCTTCCAAATGATCAGTAACAGTCTCTTAGGATGGGTTTATAGATGTACAGTGTATATCTGTATGACCATAATATTTCAGTTTTATATAATATTAACCATTACTTCCTTTTCCATAGAGTTTATTTACTGAAATGGTAGATTTTCAATTTTTATTCTTTATACAAGGAAATCTGTCGTACTTCCGTACAAGTCAGTATTAGTGAACTAGTAATTTTGTCAGGCCATTTCAATTTTTTTTCTATGTTTAGCGTCCGCATGCGCCTAGGTTTTTGACACCCCATTTCAGAAAAAAAAATCAAACAAATTCAGGAGTTCTGAAACTGATTATTCTGGTCAAAATCTTTGAATTCTGTCAATATCTCTAAATATTTGTCTACAATATGTCATGTTAGGTAAACTTTAAGCATTTAATATCTTGATTTTGCTTCGGAATAGATCTTACTATGCAAAAATATATTAATGAAATCAAATCCATTAATTGACCTCATTTTTATGATTATAAATTATTTGTTTTATTTTTTGGTTTCTGTGTTTTTGCAAATAGGTAGGTAGGTTTTTGAAAGATGGATGGACGCTAAACAGAGAAAAAACTTGGAATGGCCTCATTACGTTTTGAGTTAGGAAGTACAAAGATTAGCCTATGCTAGTATATATAGAAAAACCCAATTCTCTATCTATAGCGGTTAAAGATATCATGTAAAATTTGAATAAACAGGTGGAGGTAAATGCAAAATTTACAATATGAAAAAAGAAGGCTGATATGTACATTAAAACAAGTATTACTGCGGTAGTCATTTAATTGCGAAACAGTTGTTTATACCAAATATTTTGCGTAAGAGTAAGTTGATAATTATTAATTTTACATCTAAAACTTTGACAAATAATTAATGAACATGTAAATTAATGAAAAAAATTACACTTCATTTCTTCCAATCAACAAATTTGCCGGGGGATTAAGTCTGAGAAAGATTTAAGGTACAGTAAAAATGCCATATTTTGTAGATTACATAATCCAGATTAACGTAGTCTTCTTTGTTCCTGGTCAGTTGAATTATTTACTATACTCGACTATAATCGTGAAATTATTTCAATTTTCATATAAAAATCAGTAAACATGGTCGTGTACCTATTTTTATCTAAATAAAATCAGTAAACAATACGAGTAAAATGCACTAAACAATGTAAAACTTAGGAAACACGTGTGCTTTTTGTGTTGATTCTAGATTGATACAGATCAAGAACTTGTCATTTTTCCATTAAGTACAGCAGGCGTTTCTTCCGTTGTGATATTTAAGTTGACAACGTACTGTACAAAGTTTGATAAATGAACGAAATCTGCAGTAATCACATTCAGATCAGCTTGGGATCTGTTTTTCAACCAAGAAGTAAGTAGTGGTGCTACTGCAATAGATATTTCTCGCTTCCTCGAACTAGACAATCTTGAGAAGTATTTCCGTTTTGACAAGGAGATGATTCCCCTACAACACTTGAAAACTTTCTTTTCTTCGTCAATCCCGGGTATTTTTCTCGGATCGTTCTCGGAAACCATATCCAGTTGAAGAATCAGATCTGCAGGTGTGTTTGGAACTAATTTTGGTTGATAAACTATCGAGTCTCCGGGCCAAAAATTCTCGTATTCGTAAATGATATCATTATGATATATCACGATGACCTGTTGACCCTTATTCCACAGGGAACCCAAAGTGACGTCACAATCTTTGTCGTACGGGCATAGTTTACCATCAAAGCAGTGAGTAATAATCGACAACAACTTCATATGCAAAATGTCATTTATGTTATAAAATCTATTAATATCAATTATAATAACTTCTTTCTCGTGTGAATCCAGGAACAATTTTATTTCCTTCAAGCATGAGCTCAGTTCGTCACCATACAAACCACAGACGATATGAAAATCACCAGTTCTGCTCCGAGCTGCAACTTGGACATCGAAGTAACGTACACCGTTAGTCAGCTGTTGTTCTACAGACAGATCTTGAGTCCGACTCCAACGACAAATTCCTTCCTTCCCAACACAGCAAGAGAGGTGTCCAAGGGTCCGTACCAGTAAACAGTTATCAGGAGCAATGTCGTGAAAGGGTGTCACCGTACAGCTAAATGATGCACTGGAACCTGGAACAACAAAGAGAAGGATAGAGTAGTGCTTCCTATTATATTCTCAGACTTAATATCCATTTTTCAAAGACCCCATGTATTTTTCCTTTCAGTGTATGTATATCTAATAAGATACAGTGAGGCTATAGATGTCTGATATATTCGTTGACGACAATGTACAGAACGACATGATGAAACGTCACAAACCCTCCAGGTGAACAAAACTTTTATTTTTTAACATTGATAAAGAAATAGTTCGAGAACTTCAAATTTGTTCAATTGGTTATGAAAGGTTATGTTCACCTGCAATTGACCTTCCGGGTGAATATTACATTTAATTTATTCATCGATCATCGGACCAAAAAAAAAAAAAAAGAAATTCCAAATTAATACAACTTTTCTCACTGTGTTCGGCTAAGACTTAAATCTTGATCCTCGCTTGTCCTATTTATACAGTTTTGTAATAATAAATTTAAACAATCAAGAAAGATCGCAAGGTTTGCTGATCGACTTTGTTTTAATACGAGATTTGCATGAGGATAAGATGCCTTACAAACTGTTTGTGTAATGTATAAAATCACTCCCGTGGAGCATTGACAGGACGTGGGCCATAATTGCTCAGTTCATTGAGAAAAATTTAATATCAAAATGTCACATTTATATAATAGTCTGGGGCGTGAAAAATATTAGAGCAAATTAAGAAATAACCAGGACACACATTTAGAGCTCCAATCCACCAAAGTCCAATGGAGAATAGCAGATGATTTCCGTTTCAATTTTAGAATGTAAATCATTGTTGTAGATATAGATTCAGAAAGATCCTTCCACATCTCATCTCGGGTATTTCCGGCAAGCTCAGAAAAACACCTCGAATGTATTTTACATAACCGGATGTTAAAATTTTATACTGCTAGGTGCAGTCCCTTCCTATTTCTTAAGATATTAGATAGACAGAGTTGAGTGTCCCTTTTATAGTTATTTTAGGTAATATCTTTACATTCAATGAAGTGAAGCCCCATATTACAGATAAAAAGTCCCCTTACATACATTAATGTTTATGAAAGGGGGGGGGGGGGTCGGTTGTCATGGGCTCCTATGTAACACATTCGAGGTTGTTTTTCCACTTGACGAAAGGCCCAGAAAGTTGCGATTGATCCGAGGTTTGCAAAAAGCCAATTGCTCTAAAGTTAAGTTGATGTTACAAGGATTTCAACAACCCCGTTTAAAGTCGGCTTTTCGCAAACTCTACGGTCGTTATTATGATCTTGTTTGTAAATACAATCTATGGTTCTATTTTTCAGTTGTTTGACATGTTTGATACCATTGGTAAAATCATTGCTTTTATACTATATTTGACAACGGAGTACTCCGTATACCTAATTAATTCATAGGGCTCACGGCGGGTGTGACCGGTCAACTGGGGATGCTTACTCCGCATAGGCACCTGATCACAACTCTGGTCTTTCCAGGGGTCCGTGTTTTGTTTTGCCCTGTTCACGATATACTGGATTTATGAGATTGTTTGTTATCTTCACATTTTACATTTAGTGAGAAAATAAATCGAGCAAAACTAAATATTGATACATGTACATTTCTAAATGTTCAAAACATTTAGAGCAATTCTTCCCCAAAACGATATATGCAGACCAAAAGAGGAATCCTTATCAGACCAAATCTGGATACTAGTCTCCTATAAATTAAGTTAACGTTCAGGATAAGCTCGCATATCTTTGAGAGCCATTGAGTGCATGTCTGATTTGAATTCCCTCATTCAGTGGCGTATACCAGACCTGTTTACTCTTACGATTTCGCCGTATTTTGTACGGATTTTCAGTCCAAAAAACGTCTTACGTTTTGTTATAACGAAAATACGGAAATCCGTTCATATGGATTTTAGCAATAAGTTCTCGTTATCTGTCTCAGTTTGACGCTTTTTAATCGCTAAAGAAGATACAATTTTCAAACGTTTAAGTTGCCAAAACGCGGTGGTTTAAAAAAAAATGACAGAAATCATTCAAAAGAGAGCAGTGTATGATGTTTTGCTTTGTTCTTAAATCATGTCTTGGTAATCAGAAATGTAGTTGTTTTCTAGTAAAATATGTACAGTCGATGAAAAGTAAAATCTTACGGGCAAATGGCAAATCTCACTGACAGATCTAATGAAAAATACTGAGAGACAACAATTTGGGTAAACAGGTTTGGTATACTAGTATTCCATATAGGCAAAAAGGCTATAGCCTACACATCATTTCTTGAGAATGAAATAATTGGTTGAAAAAAGGGAAGAAAAATGACAATAATTCTTACATATTAATTTTATTTTGTTGCAAATGCAAAAAAGCATTCTTTGCAATCCGTACTTTTATACCTATCCAACGTTGACAGTTTTACTATATATTTAATGACAAAACTTCCTATAGCTGTCTTTTTTTAAATCCGAAACTCAAGTATTATATCAAGTCTGTATCAGACAATTTCAAAACTATCGACAGCAACAGGAGGCCATGATTAGTGCAGGAAATGAAATTAATATTACTGGAAATATATTTTTGGCTGGTAGGAAATTAAGTGTATTGATCGTATTAAGATTATTCAGTAAGGAAGTTTCCATATTTCCTAAGCAAAATAAAAAATAAGTTATAAAAGTTCTCAATTTTGTTAAGTAGTCTTCATATCATGATATAAACTGAAAAAAAATGTTTACAATATTATTTTCACTTGTCAAAATGTAGATGACAATCGTAGATGTCTTAGAGTTCGCAAAAAAAAAAAAAAACTCCCACCGAAACCCCCCCCCATCCCTATCCATGGGGGGGGGGGGCGACCTTCTCCTTGCCTACCCACACTTTGCGCCTCAGGTTAAATCTGTGACTTCTCACTAGCCTACACATTAGCAGATAGGAAAATACACACATTTCATTCGAATCGAACACCTTGCTAGCGAAGACGTAGTACACATCAATTATTAGCTTGAAATTTTAAGCAAGTTTTTATTTTGTTTTTCTTTTATTTTTTCCTTGTTTTCATTTTGTTTTGTTTTATTCTTCCTTATTTACCCTTCTGTCAAGCCACCACCCTTTGTTCCGATCGATATAATCCATTTTATGTGTATCTATGTAGATTAAAATATAATAATTCTTCCAAATTGCAAAGTGATAAAAAATACTTCATCAAAAGGACAAGTCTATGAATTTTAAATGTCTAGGCGTGAGAAATACCAAAGCACTTTACAAGTAAGTTCATCAAGAGACCCATGTTACAAAATGCTCACCTGAGTCGCTTTGGCCCTGCTGTTCTTCATCAGCAGACTTTTTTTTCATTGACCTCTTTAATTTCATAATAATTTTGACTCCATATTGTGGACCAAATTCTAGCCCTAAGAAAACTATGGTTTCATCAAATTTAATCTACACAACATTGGGAAACTTCAATATCAAAAAAAGATCAACATGACCCATCCGTTCTAAAGAATATTATTTTACCTGTACACAAGAATTATGTAAATTTGGATTTCTGATTTCGGCCTATTTCTTACCCGTGAGCTCATAATTTAAAAAAAAAAAACCCACAGATTCCACACATCAAGGTATGTTTTGCTTTTTAATATAATTGTTTTCTTGCCTCTCTTGAAAAGAATGCTACCTATATACTCCATTGTAAAACTCTGATCCCCTTTTGTAGCCTTAACCTATTCCCGAGGACCTTGATCTGAACAATCTTGAATCTAAACCAGTCTGATTAAAACCAGCCCCTCTTCTCCTTTCACCTGACGAGTGAAAGAAGGGGGCTGGTTTTAATCAGACTGAATCTAAACTACCCGAGAATGCTTGCATAACAATATGATTAATAATAGCTTTGGTGTTCATTATCGAGGAAGAATTTTAATTTTTTTTCTTACATATTACTATGAAAAACTTTGATCACCTAATGTAGTCCAACTCTACCCCTGAGGTCATGATTTTATTAAAAGATACAATAATTTTTTTTTACTAATTCTTTATTCTTCCCCTCGGCAGAGGGTGTGGCCCTTCATTTGGACAAACCTGACTCCTTTTACCCCAGAATGTTTTGTGGCAAGTTTGGTTGAAATTGGCCCAGTGGTTCTTGAGAATAAAGAAAAAATGTGAAAAGTTTACAGACAGACGGACAGACGGGCGGCTGACAAATTATGATCAGAAAAGCTCATTTGAGCCTTAATATCAGGTGAGCTAAAATACTGATAAAAGTCCAGAAGAGACTGGTAAATGGTCAAATATTCCAATGAACGAAAAACTTTGTACATTATTTTACTTAGGTCTATCACAGGAATCTTTTTTTTTATTTCAAAATGTAAATCATCGTATTGTATCAGACAGAACCTTTCACATCCCGTCTTAACAAGATGCCCATGTATATGGGCCACATCGCTCATCTGAGCACTTTGGTTAGAGAAAAGCAGAAATCAGATCAGTATTGAAAAGTTTAAATATATACGATAAGTGGTCCCATCCTTACCCAGGAGGGCAAGGGAGGAGGCCATGCTCTGAACAAAGCTGAATCTACACTACCAAAGGATGCTTCCATATTTTTATGACAAACCATGGCTTTAAAAGATTTTTATATATTTTCTCTTTTTTTATTCCCATGTAAAAGTTTCTTCCATTGTGGCCCACTCTACACACGGGGGTCGTGATTTGAACAAACTGGAATCTACACAACCTGAGGATGTTTCCGTATAAATATAGCTTATCATGGCTTTACTGTTGAGAAGATTTTAAAAGATTTTTCCTATGTATTCCTATGAAAAAACTTTCTCGCCATTTGTTGCCCCACCCTAGCCCCGGGGGTCATGATTTGAACAAAATTGAATCTACACTACCCGAGGATGCTTCAATATAAATATGAGTAATCATGAAGATGATTTATATTGTACAATGTATTCCCAATGTACTATAGACGTACTTTTTGCCGCAGAGGGATTAATTTAAGCTATGTACGGTACGCGGTTACAAATGTTCCGCGGAAATCTGTCCCAGCGT